TTGTTGCCAGAAAGTAATCTTGCTTTGTTCACCCTGTGCAGCTTTCAAAGGAGGGCATACTTCAGTCATTGGCTGTGAGGGGTAGAGTGCATTTGGAAAACAAGCCTGTATTGGGCAGTGCTCCTTTGGGAGGGCAGAGGCAGTGTAAATTCCACTGTATTCTGACTTTAGAATTCTCATTTTTAAAATCTGCAAAAGATTCTACATGTTACAACAGTATTTGAGAGTAATAGCACAACACGGTAACGACGTGGTCTCTAAACATCACTCATTTACCTGCCATATTTATCTTTTTTTGTAGAAGGACTTTACTTATGCCCTCACAATGGCAGGACAGCATGCTTTGTCCTCCCTGTCAATAAGTATATGATTCCAGCTGCTCTTGGTGCCTTCAGTTTGTTGTATGTGCTGCCCTGCACAAAAATTATTTGGAAAACCCAAGTATGGGCTAAATAAATCTTGTTTGTGGTTGGGGTGCTAAGACTTCTGAAAATTCAGGTTTGTTGTTTTTAAAAACATCTGAGTGACTAGTAAATCATCAAGGAAATCCATAGTGAAGATTCAGTCTCTCAGTACTTATGCATGAGGGCGTATGGTGCAAGTTTGGTGGCTTTTCTAGAATTTAGCCAAATGTTCAGGCAGGGTTTTAAAAAATAGATGCCAAGAGTTGGATGTCTACAGCCAAGATTTTCAGAAGTGACCAGCAATTTTTTTTTGGGTGTCCATCTTAAACGAGCCTTATTTTAAAAGCACTTAGTACAGGGGTGGTAGCCCTTGCCAGGGCTGGCTTTAGGAAGTGCAGGACCCACAGCCCAGGATTTTTTGTTGAGCAAAAAAAAAAACCACAACCAGCCACGCCGGGGGAAAATAGGTGCCAGTACACCGTCCCAGGGAGGGGGCTCCAGGCTGGACAGTGTTGAGGTCAGGTGGAGGGTTGGGGTGCTGAGCAAGCTTCAGGCTTGTGGCTGTGAAGGTGCAAGACTTTGGGCTGGGGTGCATGAGAGGCTCAGGGCAGGGAGGCTGCGAGTATGATGGGCTCAGGACACAGATTTGCAGTGTGTGGATGGTGCAGGAGTGTTGTTGCAGAAGACTGGGCATGTGGGGTTGCAGGAGTTTTGGGGATGTGAGGCTCAGGACAGGGGGTTCCAGTGAATGATAGGCTCAGGTTTCGGGTCTGGGGGAGTGCAGGAGTTATGATGCTGCGGCCAGATGGGGGTTCGTCCCCAGTTGGGGGTTCGTTGGCCAGGCTTTGTTTTTAAATAAAATATTCTGTTAAACACAATAGGTGCATCTAGACTGGCAACTTGCCAGCTGTCTACACTGGCCGCTTGAATTTGCGCAAGAGCACGGACTTTGTAATGTACAAAATCAGTGCTTCTTGCGCAAATACTTTCACGCTCCTGCTCGGGAAAAAGCCCTCTTGCGCAAGAATACTTGCTCAAGAGGGCCAGTGTAGACAGGGAAGAACTGTTTTGCACAAAAAAGCCCCGATGGCTAAAATGGCGATCGGGGCTTTCTTGCGCAAAATCATGCACAAAGGCACTTGCCAATCTAGACGTGCTTTTGCGTTAAAAGTATTTCCGCAAAATCATGCCAGTCTAGACGCAGCCAATGTGTTTCAGCATTGTCTTTATTTATGAGAGGGGTGGGGAACCTGTTTTGAGTCAGGGGTCACTGACCCACAGAAAAGTCAGTCGGGGCCACACAAGTGAGATGCAAAAATCAACCCCTCCAAAAAAGGTAATGCGCTGGGAGCCATGAGCAGAATGGCATGGGCCGGGAGCCCGCATATGTCTTACAGCGGCCCGGCAGTGAGACTGGCTGACGTGAGCAATTCCGGGTTCATCCCAGTTCTGTCAGGAGCCGCAATTTTTTCCTTCATGAGCCCTGGGTTGACCACGCCTGACCCAGTACTTAATCACTTAGGCATCTAATCTTTGGACACCCACTTATTAAAATCTTGGTGTTAGCACATTTTGTGTAGTGAATCTCCTTCGTTTTCTTTTTTAATAAATTCTCTCTCTCTCACACACACTCACACACCCCTCTCTCTTCCCCCTTCCCCTCCCCCAGAAGTGACTTACTGGGATAAGCAGGCCTGCAAAGCAGCTGAAACTGCTGGTGCTCAGACTGCTTCACCTGGAATTGCATCACATCCATAGTCCTCTGCTTCTGTTCTATAGCAACTCTGTTGTGAGCTTGAAGATTAACTGGTTGATTCTTGATTTTTCTGGCTATCCTGTTCCTTCTCTGTTTTACCCTCCCCACTAATAATCCATACCCACACTACAATTGTGCTGCCATAAAACTCTGCTATAGGTACAGACATAGTGGATTACATCCTCCCACCATTAGAGGCACTTCGCTGAGGAGCAGGAAATCCCTCGTGGTGCTGAGTTCTAAAGCTCTGTTTCCAAGGTTTATAATCTAGGGCTGAAGTTGGGTCATCAGCCAAGGCAAATGGCCAATCAGGTTCCTACAGAGGTGTTTTATGGGCACTGTTATAAGTCTCCTGACTCTGATGATTTCTTTGTTGTAAGAAGATTTAGTTGAGAAATTAAATTGTCTGGCCCAATTCTTGGTTATAATATCACTTAATAAAAATACATAAAAGTATTACTAGACCATGTAATTAAATTTTGTGTTGATTTGGGTGAAAGTGATCATGAAACAATAGATTTCATGATTCTAAGGAAAGGAAGAAGTGAGTTCAGCAGAATAAGGACAACAGACTTCAGAAAAGCAGTCTTTAACAAACACAGAGAACTAGTAGAGAAGGTCCCATGAGAAGAAAATCTAAGGGGGAAAAGACACAAGGAGAGCCAGCAGCCAACTATTCTGATGCAAAAGATAGGAAAGAATGGTAAGAGGCTAATATGGCTCCCATCAGGAGCTATTTAATGACTAGACAATTAAAAAGGGAGGGAAATGTGGACAAAGTGATAAGGATGAGTACAAAAGGATAGGACGTGCATGTAAGGGACAGAATGGCAGATGGATGGCTCAGTCCCTCGTCAAAGAGTACTTAAAAGTGGCAGCGCCGTATGGAGCCCAGGGTCAGCTGCTCCATGTGGCGCTGCCTCTTTGAATGCTGCTGGCAGCATTTCAAAGCGGTAGTGCTGCTTGGAGCCCAGGATCAGGTGGAGACACCCAGCTGACCCCAAACTCCATGCGGCACTGCCGCTTTAAAATGCCGTAGCAGCATTTTGGAAGGGCAGCACTGCAGAGCTTGGGGTCAGCTGGGGAGTCCCCAGCTGATCCTAGGTTCCAAGCAGCACTGCCACTTTGACATGCCATGGGCTCCCCACGGCATTTCAAAGCAGCAGCACCACACTAGCTAACCCTGGGCTCTGTGCAGAGCTGCTCCTTTGAAACATCATGGCGGCATTTCAAAGGGGCAGCGCCGCCCTATTAACTAATAGAATAGTTGATGCAAAAATGCATCAACTATTCAATTAGTCAGTTACATGATACTTAACATCCTTAATCTGTATGCATTATGCAAGATGTGGGCATACCATGGTTTTATATAGAGGCAGTAAGATATTCTCTGTCTTATTCTCTATCCCTTTTTTAATTATTCCTAACATTCTATTTGCTTTTTTACTGCCGCTGCACACTGAGTGACTGTTTTCAGAGAACTATCCACAGTGACTCCAAGATCTTTCTCTTGAGTAGTTGTAGCTAAATTAGTTCCCATCATATTGTACATATAGTTGGGATTATTTTTTCCAATGTGCATTACTTTATATTTTTCAACATTAAATTTCATTTGCCATTTTGTTGCCCAATCACTTAGATTGGTGAGATCTTTTTGAGGCTCTTCACAATTTGCTTTGGTCTTAATACCAAACTGCTCAAGATAGTTATCTGCAAATTTTGCATGTCAAAGAATACAGCCTTCATGCAAAATGACATAGAAGAGGAAACGATATTCACATGTGTATTTGTATGGGCAGTTTTTGTTTAGCTATAACTGGAGAAAACAAGATAAACCATTTTATTCTGTCTCATGTAGAGCGCATTCCTAAATGGTTCATGTCGCCAGCACAACTGAAAAACAAACCTTGTGATTGAGTGGAAATTTTTCCCCTCTTCATATTTACAACCCCCTGATTGACAGCTCCATCCCATGGTAATGAGTATATTGAAAATGCAGATAGATGTGGAATTACTAAACTGTACAGTACTTGCTTTGCACCTCCTCTGAGGTATGCTGAGCTTGAGTTATTTTCCTAGCCCATTAATATTTTGCTCGTGTTCAATGTTCTATTAAACCTCAGTTGCCAAATTAATAGACAGCTAGATGAACTGCTGCTGGAGAGAGCACCAGATGCAATTGTATTGGGAAAGCTGAGAGAACATGTTGAAGCTTCCTATTCTTGTTATAAATTGCGGGGGGGACCTCAGGCCTGGGAGCCAGATCTAGCCCCCAGCTTGCCTGAATCTGGCCCCCAAGGCTCAAGGATCCTCTTCTAGCATGGGGAGCCCTCACCTACTGTGGGACTGAAGCACGTATAATCTACTATCCTGGGCCCCACTAGTCTCTGGAGTCCAAGAGGAATATGGGGAGTGTCTTTCTCCTTCTCAGCCAGGGTTCATGTCATTGAGGGTTTGGGGCGTGGGGTTTGAATTTTCACTTGTGTGCAGCCTCCGATTGATTTTTATTTTTTGGTTTTGTTTTTTTTTTTTTTTGTTTCTGTGGATCAGCAACCCCAAGCCAAAAAAGATTCCCTATCCCTGGTCTAAATGTTGCCAGTTGCACACACCAACAGAGCACTTTAGGCTTTCAGAAAAGAGTTGGCAAACTGCTTCTATCCTCTTGGCTCCCCTATTCTTTGTGAATGAAAGATAAGACTTCTGATGGGTGTTGGAAGGCTGCATGTATTAGAGCACATGTGCACACTAACCATTGCTTTCTAAACAAAGCCTATTCTGTTTTCAAACATTTGTCTTGAAGTAATACTTGTATATAATAAATTGTCTTTGTTTGCGCAAAGCTTTGCCGCAGGAAATCTGCAGAGAATTGTCCAAAGGTAAAATCCAGTGTTGATGTGATTAATATAGAAATTGACCCTACTGTGCTTTTTGTAGTCCATTCATTTGTGATAGCTGTTTACACTGTTACATAATAGAAAGAATTGTAGTCCTTTCGCCCAAAATGACAGATGGTATATAGTGTTTGATTTAATTGAACTGTATGGCAGATAAACTAGAAATCAACATCACATAATGGATTTTCTAATGGAAAATGAAGTGGCAATAATGGCAACTATACCTCTGAATCAAAATACACTCTAATTTCCTAATGCTGTTAAAGGACAGTGTCTTACAATACTGAGTTTTTGAGCATATGCAATTAAACCATTAGTTTTAAAAAACCATTGGCTTAATGAAAAAATATACAGCAAAGCCTGAAAATAGATAGGGAAGAATGTGAATGCCTAATTTTTAAAAATGCATGTTTTGTATCTGATATACTGAAATGGTAGTTCAGGAAAAGTTAACCTACATAAAAATGTTTCCTCCGGTGTGTAGTGCTTTGCTGTGATGTGTGGTCTGTCTTTTAAACTGGTCTAAGTCAAACAATTAGGGCTAGAGTAGGGCTAAGGGGACTTAGCTGTACTGCCTAAATTAGCTAGTAGGAAATGCTGAAGGATAGGTGGGTCTTAGACAGCTATCTCCCTTTGACATTCTTGATTAAGAACTTTCTCAAGGATTCCAAGGTCAAAAAGGACTGTTGTGATCATCTAATCTGAGCATAAACCTTTACTAAAATCATTCCTTTTGAACTACTGCTCAGATGAATGCCCTGGCTTCTGGTACATTGGAGGGGGGGGGGAGCCAGAGGCATTACCAAGTCTTCCTCCTCTTGTGTGCAAAGCCCTATCCAGTGAGTGTGTTCTTAGGTGACCTTTGAGAACACATGGGTCTGGGCTCTGTAGACAACCAAGGTGTTCCAGTTTGAAGATCCTTAGGGGGCATAGGCATTGAGCAGCTTAGGACATGCACAACTTTTCACATAAGCACTTTCAGGCTTAAGAGGCAGCTGAACAGAGACTTTGAGGATCTAAACTTTGGACTTGGGTACTTAAATCCCTTTTTGGTGCCCTAATGTTTCAAACGTTTAAATATATTTTAGACAAAATGTGTAACTAAGGCCAGTTCCTCTCTCTTTTGCTGCCAGTTTGAGGGCATGTTAACAGGGACACTATCAACTTAAAACCTAGTCAGTTTTAAATTAAAAGTAGTTTCATCACTTTCTCTAAGTCCTTCTGTTGATTCTTGTGGTTTCACAATCCAAATATTCCTGTCTCTAAAAACAGTTTTCTCTCCCATTGCTATGTGGAGACGCACCCTAACATCAAACAGATTACATCAAAAGTGCTGTCAAGTGTACAAAGCAAACACTGTTTGTGTCCAGTTATGTTAGTGTTTACAAGGAACAATAGATACAGTTCAGACAGAATGGGGTTACCATCGGTCTAATCACTGTGATCCACTGCTATGGACTAGCTTCAGATAATATGAAAGAGGCTTATTCGTGATGCTGCATATTGTGCAAGGTGAAAGAGGGAAAGCTTCAGCAGGGAACAGAATGTTTAGTGAGGATGTTGGATTATTTGCTAAAAAGAGTTAATATTAATCTTCATCTTTTTTTTTTCTCTCTCCCAGAATGATCTGCCAGACTCACATGCAAAATTCCATGTACTTTTCCTTTTCTTTGTGGCTGCCATGTTCTTCATCAGCATATTGTCACTTTTCAGCTACCACTGCTGGCTAGTCAGCAAAAACAGATCAACAATAGGTCAGTTAATTGGAATATGTAGTTGTCTTGTGACCAGAAGATTGATACTGATATGAGCATGAGTTCTGCAGGAAGTGGCATAATGTTTAAGAGAAATACTAACATCTTGAGGAGAATGGAACATTTTTAGTAGAAGTAATTTAATGGAAAGGTTCTGTTGTGAAATAATTGAGTGCAAAGTGTTTTCTGTCTGGAGTCAAAAGTGTGGGTGCATAGTGGAGGTCAATTATTTGTTTTATCTTTTTGTTATATTTGTGTATTGGGCATAGCATAATAGGGCCCTACTCTCTGGTTGAAACCCATAGGCATTACCAGTTACAATTTTTTTGTGTCACATTAGCATCCCAAGGCTCCAACTGAGGTCATGGCCTCATTGTCCTAGATGCTGTACATGGATGTAGTAAGACACAATCCATGCCCCAAAAATGTTGAGGTAGATCGGGAATTAAAGAAGGAACCTGGCTACGAAAAAAATTTCAAAGAAATAGGGAAAAGTGGAAATAGTGACACATATTTCCTAACATAATGGTGCTTCCCTTACTTGCTTTAAACTGAATCTTGCTGGTTGGCACAATGTGTGTTTTTATGTGTGTTCCATTTAGAGCACTTGGATAACGTTTTCAGAAGTGCTTATCTGAATTTGGAGCCCAAATCCTATTGATTTTCAGATGGGGTTTTTTTTTTTGTTTCAGATTTTTCATTGATCAGATTATTCACTCAGTTCTTTTTTGAATGCTTATTCACATAAATTCCAATCAGGTGTATGCGCACTGTGTGCACAAGTGTCAAACTTTCCCGTAGCAGGTCCCAGAGGGTCGGCTATGGAGATCCGTACAGTGGAGCTGCTATATCAGTGCATATATATCACAGCTGACTCTGCCCTCCCTCAGTTCCTTCTTACTGTCTGTGACAGCATTGGAATGTCCTAGCTTTTGCCTTAGCAAGTGCCTAGTCCCTATAGCTTTGGTCTGATCTTCATTAATCGGTTGCAGAGTTTCAGTGCTAGCAGAAACAGCGGGCAAGTGCCCAAGAACCAGAGCATGCCTAATGCCCCAGGCTTTCAATCGTGCACAGCTTATGAATGCCCTATGCCCAACAGCAATCCACACAACACGTGCCTTCACTGTTTGGGGGAAGAACATTACACTGAGAAGTGCAAAATCTGTAGTTTTTAAGCCCTGAACCAGAAAGGACTGGGAGTACAGACTCCAGCAGCTCCTTATGGAAGTGGTGCTAAAACCCCCTCATGCCGAGAAGATGGCACCTGGAGCCAGCTTGGTGCAAAGTGCTCCAGGCTCCGTGTGCAGTAACACCCTGAAAACAAGCTTTGTCAAAAACTCCTGATGCAGGGGCTCCCCTGTGCTGAGGCACAGATCCACCTCACCAGCACTAAGACAGGACCAACCATGCTAGAAGTCTCTAGTGTGAGAAATCCAGAATGTGCCATTGACTTCGGCCCTACTGCTGTCGAGTCCAGCACACAGCCCATCACCGAGAGACCTAAGTCTGGTGCAGACCCTAAACTCCCCTTTGACACCTGACACTTTCAAGGTTGCCTGAGACCTCTTAGAGATCTTGGCTGCTGAAGCATCCAGGGTGCACAAGGGGACACCAGCACCACCAAGACTGTATTGATCAGAGGGGAAACTGGTAATGCTGCATAGACCATTACCTGCAGAACATAACTGGGATGGGTCATCCTCATTGAACAGATCACATCCGCTGGTACAGCACCCTCCCCTTTTGACACCATCAAAAGGCCTAAAACCAACCCTCTAGGCAGCGCCAGAAAACCAATGCTCAGCACCGAGGTCACTCTCCCAATACAGGTTGAGGTCCAGGATTGCACAGCACTGTTTGAGTCCAGATTCTCAGGGTACTGCTCGAGGTCACCAAGGAGGTCTCACCGGGTGGCACTGGCCTCAGCAGCACCGGGTGTGGTGTTGAAGGAGCTGTACCAGGTGTACCAGAGAGGGCCCCCTGGCAGCATGACAACAGCAGTGGCCACTGCCTGCACAGTCGCCTTCTGGATGCTCTGAGCATACCATCAGTCCCAGGGTGAGCTTAAGTCAACCACGTCGATGAGCCAGAGGTCCCCCCACAGGATAGTTGCCATTCAAGGGTGCCTTTGGCATCAGAGTCCCGTCCACCGAGACGTGACAGCCCACCACCTGAGCACTGCGCTCGGCCACCCAGCTTGAGATGCCAGACAGCACTGGATCTGGGTCAAAGAACCCAACAACCCTTAGAACTCAGGGGAGACACTGGGGCCACCCAGGCCTACTCATCCTCATTCCCCAATGTAGTGGAGGCAGGCAGTTGGTCCACCTCCAGTGGACCATAGAGCTTACCAAGAGCTGCTCCACCAGGGGGGCCTAAAACATGAATCTCCCCATGGAGGAGATACAGGAGCCAGAGGACCACGTGGTGGACATCCTTTCACAAGAAGGACCATCTAGGATAGCTCTGCCAATTATAAAGACTATACAAACTTGTGGCAGACCCCGGCTTTCATTCCCCCGACAGCCAAGGGCATCAAGACAAGGTACTTTGTTCCCTCCAAGGGGTATGAGTTTCTATACTCACACCCCCATCCCTCCTCACTCATGATCTCTCCTGTAAATGAAAAGGAGAGGCATGGTCAACAGGCCCCTACCCCCAAGGCAAAGGAGGCCAGAAAGACCAACGTGTTGCCCCACGACGCCTGGCAGGAGTTGGGAGCCCTGTCAGAGGAGGGCCGTACTATAGCCAGGACATCCCTATGAGCAGGGGTTCTCTCTCCAGTGGTCACATTACACTAGACCAGGGTGCATGCCTTGCCAATGGCTTTTGTAGCACAAGTGCCCTTTTAGGAGATCTGTAGGATGGCCACGTGATTCTCTATACATACATGTCATTGATAAATTTTCCAGGGAGGATGAAGCTGCCAGCAGGGCAGTGCTCCAATTGGTGATCGCTAATTCCAACCCCATCTCTTTGGGGTAACAGCTTGGAAGCCACTTGATTGGAATCAACGTGAACAAGCACTTGAAGAAGAAAAGAAAGTTACCTGTTCTTGTAACTGGTGTTCTTCGAGATGTGTTATTCACATTCATTCCAATACCCACCTTCCTTCCCCACTGTCGGAGTAGCTGGCAAGAAGGAACTGAGGGAGAGATGCGCTATATATGTGCTGATATACTGGCGCTACTCTAGGGGTCTCCACAGGTGACTCTACAGGAGCTGCTAGGGGAGAGTTTCCAACACGTGTGCACATGGCACACATACTAAGGATGTTAAATAATGGTTAATTTACTAGTCGAGTAGTTGATGGAATTTCCATCAACTACTCAACTAGTCAATAGGCATTTCCGCATTCCTCCTTTGAAATGTACAAGAGTCCCTGCTGGGGAAGTCCCGCTGATTCCGGACGGCATGTGGGCGTGCCAGCTTTGAAATGTACAAGAGTCCCCAGCGCGGGCTCCTGTGCATGATTGAGCGGACGCGCCCTCATAAAGCCCAGGGTCAGCTGGGGACTCAGAGTCCCCTGCTGACCGCGGGCTCCATGCTGAGCTGCCACTTTGAAATGCCATGCAGAGCCCGGTGTAGGCTCGGGACTCCCCAGCTGAACGCGGGTTCCACGTGGCATTTCTGCAGAACCCAGAGTCAGCTGAGGACTCCCCAGCTAATCCTGGGTTCTGCAGAAATGCCACGTGGAACCCGCGTTCAGCTGGGGAGTCCCGAGCCTACACCGGGCTCTGCATGGCATTTCAAAGTGGCAGCACCGCACAATTGATCCCGGGCTCAGCTGTGCGGCGCTGCCGCTTTGAAGTATTCCCTCTTTTCCCCCCTTCTCCCCTTTTGCTGCCTCTATCTGATAGAGGCTGCAAGAGGGGGGGAGGAGGAATCGACTAGTTGACTGCTTATCATTTAGTCAACTAGTCCTTAACATTCTTAGCACGTACACCTTATTGGAATGGGCGTGACTAACACATTTTGAAGAACACTAGTTATGAGAACAGGTAACTGTCTTTTCTAGTTGCAGCTTTTCCTTCTGATTGGGGTCTTTGCTTCTGTTAGATAGGCATTCTCACACCAAAATTAGACTATTGCAATGCACTGTACATGAGGCTACACTTGAAAATTATTTGGTGATTAAAGCTGATACAGAGTACAGCAACTCCCTTATTAAGCAGGATCTCTCTGGCAGTATGCAACATTGGTGCACAAATATCGGCACTGAATGCCTAGGGGTTAGTTTATTTGTAGATTAGTATTAATGCTGCAGGGTAGTTATAACACTAATTATAGCCAGGGTCTCAGATTTTTTTTTAGTGTCAAATATAAATAAAATAGATATGTTATTAATGGAAGTATGTTCCATATCAAATTTACAATTTTACCCTTCATTGCTGTTATGTCATGTACCTTGTTACATCTTTGCTATATTTTTAATTGTTGAAACTTGACATCCGTGCTTTACTATAATGTATTTTAAGGCATTGTTGATATTAGTTCCACTATATTTACTGTCTCAATGTCATGTATCTTCCTGTTGACTACAGTAGCCATAGTAATTAAGATAAACTATGTTTATTCATTTCCATGCTTTCTAAGTATTTTGCGTAGTTTAAAATTGTTAATTTCCTTTTTTAAACAGAAGCATTCCGGGCACCCACATTTCGAAACGGCCCTGACAAAAATGGCTTCTCTCTCGGATGCAGCAAAAATCTGAGAGAGGTTTTTGGAGATGAAAAGAAGTATTGGCTGCTGCCTGTTTTTACAAGGTATTATGTTTTTTGATACCCTTTATGAGAATCATGAATTTCTACTACTTCTAAAAAATAAACTATTTATTACTCCTAGAATTTAGGGGTTGGTGGGTGAAAGTGTAAAATAACCAGCTGAATTAACTTCATTGAGGACCCTAATCTGAAGTGTTAAGCCTTGAACACAAGAGAGCATAGGTCCCTGCCAAACTGAGATTTTGAAAACATTTCTTGAACAGTGTTTGAAAGATACCGTCAGTTTCAAATGAGAGTGGGCTTGTGCCTTAAGTAACGCAGGAAGCCAGTGACACGAAGGCCCACACCAGTGACCTCTCAGGCTTCATCTATGCTACAAGAACACTGTTGTAAGATGACATTTTTTAGAAACAATTTTTAAAATTTCAGCTATTTATTTTGCTTCTTCTGGTACAATTTTGTCTTCAGTATGGACAGCACATACTTAGATTAAAAGTTTTTTGAGAAAATGTTCTGAGACTGAGCAGTACAGGACTCTGTCTGGCAGAGAGATTGATAAATAATTTCCAGTTTGAATACCATTTCTGCTGAACGGGTGTTAGAATGGATGTCTAAAACCACTGGGACATGTAGCCTCTTGCAGCCAGACCAGGTTTTCTTCCTATCATTTTAATCTAGACTGGCCTCAAAAGCAGGTTTATCAAAGCTGTGGTAAAAACAGATATTTGTTCCTGAATCCTTGTGTACATGATAGCTCTCACCAGTTTAAATATCAGATCACTTGAATGCATTTGTACAATGGGATGTGCGAATTTCTGTCTCACATGCTTACACAATCTTATACAAAAGAAATCAGTTACTTTGGGGTCATGTCCCACAGAATCATCTCATTAGTTCTTCTTAAATTCTGTAGTCTGGGGCTCTGACTCAGTCATGACAGTCAGCAATCTGTTTAGGCAGAAAAGGGCAAAAGTTATTTCATAGCCTGCTTGAAAACTCAGAAACTGTCTTCAGTGTTAAATGACCAGGCCACATAGCTTAGTGGTAAAACTTTGTATTTGCATGCAGGAGACCTACATGCAGTTCCAGTTTTTCTCTGGGGTTTGGAGTGCAGTATGGCACTTACACTAACTAGTTCTGACTGGCAATGTTTGATATTTCATGCGGGTACCTATTTAGCAGGATTTACCTACCTTATATTAATACACCACTAATTTTGATTTACTTAATGTTTCCTTCATCATGTAGCTTGGGTGATGGGTGTAATTTTCCAACTCGTCTAGTGATTATGGATCCAGAGCAACTTACTGTCTCAAGCCAAAACGAACCTCCTAAAAGGTATATTGCTATTCAACTATTTTATTTTGTATATATGTGCTTTTACTGGTCTCATTTTATCTTTCATGTGGCAAATAAACTTAATATAAGTTCAAAAGACCACTTTAAACTAATTGTACCCACTACTAGGTTCTGAAATAGTTTGTAATCCTTCGTAAGTGGATAGGTTGGGTTGAGGGATCATAGAGGACAGTACAATTAAGATGTCTCCTTAATGCAAAGAAGTGATCAAAAAAGTAAGGAATAAGTTATTTTCAACACAGTATTAAGGGGATAAAAACTATAATACAGGAAATATAAATGGATATATTGATACCACCTCTTCACCTTGAATACTTTTTCACATTTGGTTACTTCTCAAGAAGAACGTAATAGAAAAGCTCCAAAATTAGCAAATAATATAATTTGAAGGCCTTTGAGAATGCACTTGAAAAGACTAAAATAATATAATTTTAGAGGAGAAGAAAGAGGTAATGTGCATAAAGTAACAAATGACATTGGTATGTGTTTTACCATTTCACCTCTTCCTGTAAATGCATAAACTAGGGACACTTGAGCCCTTCTTATTTGAGGAGGTTGAACTGTTGCTGACCATTTTCAGTAGGTTGCTGATATTGAAGAGAGTGCTAGTGTAAAGAGGACGAAACCGTCTTTACTATTTCTTCAAAAAGCTGGATTCCGATGTGGTGAAGATTTGTACCTGAACATAGAACCAAGTCTTTCTGAAGTGGTATCGTCCAGTCTATATTAGCACTTAAGAGCAACCCAAAATAATTGTTGGAAACAGATCTGTTTTCTAGTGTAGCTGGACTTTTGAGAGAGGCAACTCTTGTAAAATAAATTAAAGATATTTTTAATGCAACATAACTAACCTGTGGAACTTGTTGTATGCTAAACAATGGAGCAGGATTGTAGAGCAAATAATGCTGTAACCTGTTGCATTAGATGCGTGCTGAATGGAGCCCCCTAATACTAACTTGTCCTATTGTTATACGCTGCTTTTTCTTTTTCAGGAAATGCTGGTTGTTATTTTCATAATATTTGTGGCAACCATGTAGGTGAAATCAGAACTCCATCCTGCATTCATCTTGTGAACAAAACATTCCTCAGTGGTCAATTTTGCATTTTCCCCATGAGAATAGTAAATGGTCTTCATCTCTCTAGAGTCCAGAGAGAGGCTATTTTCATTGAAGTCCGTCTATACGTGAATTAGGTTTCAAATGGGCAAAAATATACTTAATTTCAGTTACATTGACTGGGCTGTTTGTTTTATTTTACTTTTAAGTGAATTTTATTAAATTGTGAAGGAACTTATGACTTGTATGCTTATTACAAAATCTAACCGTGTACAATACTTCTGTGTACTCTGTTTTTAGCTCTGGAGCCAGTCAGCCGTTTCCTGCCAGGCCACTCAGTGAGTCACAAAATCGATTGTTGGACAATGAAAGTCAGTGGGTGGAAGGTGGTTCAGAAGAAGAAAATGTTAAATCAGGTAGAATTTTAAACGTAGAGGTTCGAATCTCAGCTGGTATCGTATTTAAAAAACCCTTGGGAAACCATAGCTGAACTAGAAAGTTTAGCTTAAAAATATATTAATGGGTGGACAATTATCCAATTAAATCAAATCAATATTTTCTTTCTAGAATGAGGCTAATTTTTCTCTCATAATCTAATCCAAATCAGACTGGTGTATTAAGGTAATTGAAGAATTCCAACTTTCTAGTCTCCTGTTCTGGGTGTTCTGTAGTTTGGAATGAGTTTGTGATTTGGTTTAAAGGAAGGGAAAAATTACTTCTGTAAAAGAGAGGAGAGAAGGTGAGTGGTCCAATGTCTTTTATTGGACCAATCTCTGATGGTGAGAGGGGCAATTATATGCAGCACTGTAAAGTGATATTGTTATCACTGTTCTCTTTTGCAAAATATACTTTCTGTTGTGATCTCTCACTTTTAGGTGCAAAAAAGCATGTTATAGTTTCATTGGAAAGCTGACCTCAGTCTGTTAGTGACCAGCTTTTAATCTCAATGAGAAAAAGGTAAGATCAATGTAATTGATTATTTTACAAAGAAATAGTGAATGAATTACTTCTGACTATCTGAAGCCATAAAATATCCAGTCTGTGAATTCAGAGTACTTCTCAAAGCTCCTTTATAAAAAGTTCACTCTTCAGTTTATCCATAGTGCTAGATATATAGCTTTGTGTAGCTTTCAGTTCCCAGCATAAAATGGGGAGAATGGGGTGGTGGGTTAGTCTCTTCCTCTCTATGATTAAACAGCAGAAAACCTTGCCTTTAAATAGTAACATCTTCTTATTAATTTGCTTACAAACTAATTAGGGTCTGATAGTCATTTCAGTCTTCCCTGAGCAAGAGTAAATTTCAGAGTAAGAGTCCTGTGGCTAACTGAACTGCAGGCTCTTTGGAGAGCTGAACATGAGGTTTCTGGGACAGCACCATAACAGCTAGTGGGGGAGGAGATGGAACTGGAGAAGTGAGTAGAAGACACAAACTTCATAGCAGTGGATTTGTGGGCTGAAAAGACTCAATGCTTTCCCACAGTGTTTGGTCTGTGAGCAAGCCATAAAATTCAGCCTTTTACCCACCCATTGAAAGAACTCGTTGCAAAGGCAGTTCCATGTGTTCTTGATGTTTTGGAGCAGCTTTTCCTAAACAGTGTGTTCATTTGTCTTTTCCTTACTTCCTATGAAGTAAGAGAAGTGGTGGGTGTGCGGTAAATGCTGCTTCAATGAGCAATCTGTGTTTACAGAACAAATGACTGTGTTCAGTCATGCTTCAAATTGATAATAACATTATTTTTCTATGTATGAAAGGATTTCTGTATAACTTTTCTTATTTGATATTTGGGAAATATAAAGTGTGCTGCTGCAGCCATGAAACTCACTATTTCTTGGATATATTCACTGACTAACTCAGATTGTAATAGTGACTTTAAAAAAGCTGGTTAAATTATGTTAAGAATATGCAATGAGGAAGTATTTGTAAGAGCAACAGATTGTATACAGACACAAACCTGTTACATTTGTAATAGTTACCATGTACCATTTTATGATGCTAAAAAGAATTTAGAAGAACCAACTATTGATGTCTTGTTTTGTAAGTTCCATGTTGCACTTCCCTGGTTGCCAAAGACTGTAACTATGCAAGAGAAATAGGGAGACTGAGCTTCCTTTCAGGAAGCTGGACAACTGTTAGAAGAAGAGAGTACAACTGATTCAGGAAAGCAACACTATTTAGGACAGTACATAAGCTTGTGCTTAAATATTGCCTTGAATAGGGATGAGTACATGCTTGAGTATTTTTCTGAATTAGGGCTTTCCCATAGGCAGAGAGCTAGAAATTACATGCTTTAAATCCTTATTTGTAGAATAATTGGAAGGTAGGTAGATATAATTCTTAAATAGGAGTTGACCTACATGTTTGTTTAACTTAATGTTACACTTCCTCTAATTAACTTATTTCCTTTAATTAGGTTTCTGCAACACATTTGTGCTTGACTATTACTTAATTTTGTTTGGAAGAAGTTGCTCAGTAAAATGGAACAGTGTGAACATGTTGAACATTTATGAGAAATTGTTTATATACAGTACAACGGATGCTTGTAAGCACTGCTGCAGAGCGGGGAAGTAAGACAGATGCCTTAAGATTATTAATGTGCATTTATGCAACATTGACTTATATACTGTTACAAAAGAGCCAAATCCTGAAGTGTCCTGCGTGGGAGAGCAAGGCCCAAACAGAGCAGAAACTATGCATTGCTGCAGTGGGTGCGTACATCTGCCAAGACCCAAGCAGGCAGATCCCATATTCCTGTGTACTGCTGAAGTTATTTCCATGGCAGGTCTCCAGGGGACCAAGAAAGGGGAAAAGTGGATGTGTTGCCAACCAACACAGAGTATGGCCAGCTTACCTCTTCCTAGTACCAGTGGTAGATGCTCACATACTTCCTATCCCAATACCCTGCCTCTGTAGTGCTGTGGGTGTTGAGGACACTTCCTTTCATCACTGCTTTGTTGCAGCATAATGCCAAGCTAGTGAAGCTCTTTCACTCGGGTGCCACTTGTTTGCTTCAGGATTGGGCCCCCTAGTAATTTAATTTATTTAATCCTATCAGAAATGTAACTCCGTAAAGTGAAGTTCTATTTAGCTATATTAACCTGAACAACTTTATTTTTCCTGCAATTGCCTCTCACCATACAAAAAATTGCCAATCCAAAAAAGAGCTAACAAACTAGTACTTTTTTCTGTTAAAAGGTGCAGAATGGTATGTACAAGATAGTAAGAGAGCAGCAAGGTCCTTGTGGCAGCAGAAATCTTATTGTAAGTTTTGTACTGTATTTGAAAATGGACCTGAAGATGATTACTACTTTTTAGATTGAACACTTGATGGTTTATAACATTGTTTTATACTTGCTTTAGCTTTTTAATAAAGACAGAAGGTGTCTTTTTTTATTGTTAGCTCTGAAGTACTGTACTACTTAGACACACAGTTCAGGTATCTGTGATGAAATGTAAATGTTGGATCATGCACTTGGGAACACATTGAAAGTTTATTGTACGCTTTAGTCTGTCATATTTTACTTCCATTTTAAGTGGAAATGACTCAAAAATAGCTGAAAGGGGCACTTTACATAATTCTTTATCTTTTTTTAAGAATGGCAATTTGTATGTTTCCTATATTGGGAATATAGTCCATCCAAAGTTTGAGACCACAGCCAACAACATATCTTCTATTTAAAAAAAAGACTACTGATGCTAGTTATTTTTCAGTGGTATTGACATTGCATCTAGCAAACTTGACAAATATCCCTTAACTTATCAATTTCTTTATTCCAGTATATAGTGTCTGCTGATCCTGTGTAGGTGCAATTGGGTCCTCTTGAAACTGTGACTGGAGGCAGTACAGCCATCTATCATATGTGAAGGGACCTATCCATATGTTTTTGCTTGTGGGCTGATTACTTCCAAAACTAAAACAACGAGGAGTCAAGTGGCACCTTAAAAACTAAGAAATGTATTAGGGCATAAGCTTTTGTGGGATATACAATTCACTTCCTCAGATGGTTGAAGCAAAAGATGGCAGTGTAACATCAGTGCTAATTAAATCAGGGTGGATGTGGCTCACCTCCGTTCACCCTGATCTAATTAGCACTGATGTTACACTCCCATCTCTGTCTCTTTTCCCTTCAACTATTTGAGGAAGTGAGTTAGCTTATGCCCTAATAAATGTGTTAGTCTTTAAGGTGCCACCAGACTCCTTATGGTTTTTGCTTAAACACAGCTACCTCTCTGAAATCTTCCAATACAAAATGTGTATTTTATGGACACACTAAGATTTAAGTGGGGCATGATTTAGCTCTGACAGGGCCCTAAATAATCTCTGGAGTTAAAACAGTACCTATTCCTGTATACTTTAAAGTACTGTTCAAAGTAGTAGGGGAATATGAGAATTTTTAAGCATGCTCTGGTACCTGTGAAAGGAAATTAATGGTCCAAAATTGCACTTTTCAGAAGTCTTGCAAAGTGACCCACTAAATGTTGTACTACTTTTTATATAAAAGTGTAGCACTTACCAACTTCAAAATTCGCAAAAAAGCTCATATGCATTCTTTTGAGCCTCAAACCCTTTTTCTCTGAAATCTTTCAGTCCTTCTCAAATATTGGTAACTTCTGCACAACTGAAAATTTAAAAAAAGGCACTCTATTCTAGCAATCAACGTGTTAGGTTTGGAAAGAGAGCTCTTCCAACCAAAATACCCTTTGGGTTGGGCATATCCTGATTTCATCTCCCCTCTTCCATTGATTAGTATTAAGATCTGGGAAGCACCCAAAGTTATAATTGTAGAAGATGTAACTATGAATATTTCCCCCTGCATTTTGCAGGTGAGCTAGTTGAAGATATAAGAAGTTGCAGAAGGTCATTGCTTCCAGAACAGGGAATAGAACCCAGGTGTCCACTGTGCCAAGCTTTTCTACTTAACATTAGTGCCTTTAAGAGTTTAAAATCACTGCTTTAATTGTTTCTGTTTAGCATACCTGTATGCTGTAAAAGCTTCATTTGTCATTTTGGGAAATGGGAGGGTACCAGTAAATCAATTCCTGTTAACTAAGAGGGGGAGGGAGTTCATGACTGGTGTGTGGGAGGGGATCTGAGGCACAGAACACAGCTTATGGCAGGGAGTTTGAGTATGGGAGGGGGCTTAGGGCAGATGGTTGGGAAGCATGGTGCATTTTGGGTGCTGGATCAGGACCGGGCTCATCTTAGGCAGCTCTCTGCAAACGTTGGTATGTCCATGCTGTTGCTCCTATGCCGAGGCATGGCTAGACAGCTCTGCATACTACTTCTGTCCATGGATGCTGCCCTCACAGCTCTCGCTGACCAGTTCCCAGCCAATGGGAGCTAGAGATGAGGGGGCAGGACATGGAGCCCCTGTGACCATTCCTCTGCCTTAGGAGCAGCAGGCACACATCACTGTTTCTGAGGGACCCATGCAAAACTAGGCAGGAAACATTCCGGCCCCACTCCAACAACTCTGTAACCAGACTTTCAATGAAAATCAGAAATACCTGTTTATAGATCTTTCTGGTTGGCAAAGTGCTGGATAATACAGCTTTTACTGTAATTTCATCCATGCTTGAGGCTAACAAATTTAACTATAATGGGTTCCAAACTGATACAATTTAAAACAGTACAAAAGCTGTGTATTGATGAGCCCTCAGAGCTTAAACCAAATGTCCATGTGTGGTTTCCAGTGAATGATAGTTTCTTAGTGGATTATCAAAAGAAAGAATGCTCACAAACAATATTTTTGAGACTTCCCTACAGAACTGGTGCTCCTGATATATAGAACTAGATACAAATATAGATAGATATTTAGTGCCATAGTTTGTCAGATTTTCTGACTTTTGGGGTAAGATTAATTTGAGAGGAGCACTCTGTTGATTGTGGTGAAGGAGCTGTATACTTGGATGGAAAAGCAGGTAGTAACTGAGGCCACTTTTACAGAATGTAATATATCGTTGATTCAACAAAGAACCTTCCTGGTTCAGCTAACTCTTCTTGGAGAAGTGGTTGCCATTATAAAGACCATATTGATGGAAAAGAAATACCATGAAACTGAAGACCAAAAGTGTGACCAAGTATGGGCTGATAGAACTAAATAGACTCCACAGGCCAAAGTGCTGCATGTCTTTGAAAGAGGTGTCACCTTTGCTGTCTTTTGAAAACTGACATGGAAGTTCTGGACATATCAGGCACAGTATCTGAGACCGGATCAAGACCCTGGGGCTGTCATTTGGAGAGCAGCCCTACTGGCAGTTCTTCATCTGTAGCCAAGAGCTCTCTGTGTATTGAGGTGAAGGAAATTGAATTAAAGGCAGAACGGGAGAGAGACAAAAATAAAAATAAATTTGGTAAGAGAGCTGAGGGGGAAAGGTGTTTTGCTGCAGAGAGGAGTTGTAAGCTCACTATTGTCAAGCTTTGCCTTACAGAGACAGGACAGTCTGAGAGCAACCTGCTGAGCAAGTCATTTCAGTGCAAGCCTCCCTATTCAACTACTGAAAGGCTTTCAGTCATTGCATCAAGGGAATCTCACCTATTCAGGATCAGTGGATGTGTTCTTGAGATAATGTGATTATAGTGATTGCTGGATTGTGTTTTATAAAAGCTGTTGCATATGTGCAAGTACAGAAATATTGAGATGACAACTAAAACAGCAGTTCTATGCTTAATCCTTCAGATCTCGCCACATTACAGCCACATAGTATTCCGATCACTTGATTGCTGGAGTACATTGGTACCATTGAAATCAGTGTGCTTAATGTTTCTTAAACCTATTTTGTATTAAATATATGTAATATGTTTTAAACTCCCAGTTAGAGGACAATAGTCTGTCATAAAGCAACCTCTTCCTATGTAAGGGTTTCTGCACATGTCTAAATACTTACAATTATAAAAGAAGCCCCTTAAGTGGGGAAGATGTAACAAGTGAATGGAGAATTTAATTCACTTTGGAATGTTTTTGCTTATGTAACAGTGCCTCCATTTACAAGTTATACTACATAATCAGACTGTTTTAAATACTGGTCTCTTGATTTTCAGCAAATTTGTAAGCTCTATGTAGGAAAGAAACATGGTTGTTTATCAACCAGTTTCTTAGAATATTATTGCAGAATATGACATCAGTCGTTCACAGAAAAGTAATCTTTGAGCCAACACTTCCACTTTCACTCTGATTTTTACTAGGTAATTCTAGAAGTTTATGGCACTGCTACTGTTTTTACAGTGTACTTTCTTAATCAGACAGCTGATGTGTTAGTAAACATACCCCAAATTCTGTGGAATGCATATTTACTCTTAGCACAGTGTATGTCAGAATTGATACACACTGATTAACATATGCACTTCTGTAAGTGTTTAAGTATCTAAGTTTTTCAGGTATTACTTTTTTGTAATATTTATGGGGCTCTTTGGCACTGTAAATCTTTTGCCTTTTAAATGCTTGGTTTCAAGTCTAAGTGCATACTGGAAACAGATTTTTGTGTTAGTTTATAGTATTTGAAGCAGCACAGTTTCAGCTTAAAGGAGCCCCAACAGTGAAATAGAAGTAGCATTTGTAAAGTAATAATTAAGGTCTACTGCCAGACTAGTCTAGTGAAGTGTAAGGCTAGTGCAATCAGTCTGAGCATCAACCAACCAACCAGAAAGAAAACTTCTAAATATGAAATTATACTCTACAATATATTATGAGTTCCACAAACTAAGTTTTAGAGATTCGGATATTCATTTAAAAAGACTCCAAAGATTTCAATTACTGAAATATCTATAAATACAGATCACCCAAGAACCATTGTTTACAGTATCTGAAATGTCATTAGATATTCAATACAGGGCATCTTGTCAGTATCACTAATTGTAACCAAAGAGAAACTGCAGGATGTAAAGCTTAGTATAATACTGAACATGTTTACTAAGTTCATTTCTATCCATTTATTTTGTAAGTAGGGACAGCTTATGAGTATTTTCTTCGGTATAGAGCTGCCATAATATGTAATGAAAATGCAAATTTAGTTAGTGCATCTTAACATTAATAATTTGTGTTGTTAGACTTAATAGTGATTTTTTTGCAGATTACTTGAATCTTGTTTCTGATAGGTACCAGAACTTGATCATGTTTACAAGATTGTTTTAATTACTTGGTGAAGATAAGATTTACCAGCAGAAACTCAGATGAGTGCATAGCACCCACGCAAATGTGTTGGGGAATGAGTATCAGGATCTCCTGCTTGCTGGCACCAAAGAGTTAATGGTGACCTGCAGACTTCAAAAGACTGGTGTATGCAATTAAGAATTTGCCCTATTTAAATTGTGAAATACATATCCCTAGATTATGTCTGCAGCTCCTGTATTTGCCAATGGGTATGCCATCTACATTGCACTGTAATGGCAAAATTCTGGGTGTCTGCAAATCTCTTACTTTGATGTATTTTCAGTGTTCTGCATAAAACAATTAATTGCAAGTGTCTCTCTGAAGCTAATTATACAAAAATAAATTTAATAAATGACATTGTATTTTTTGTATGTTGCAGGTAGGAACATTCCTATGCACAAAGAAAACATGTTGCCATTTATAGTTTAATACTTTGAACTGATTTTTTTAAATGGAATTTTATAAATGAATGAGATATACAAAAATCTTTGCCTGAGTTCCTTCCTATTTTAATGGTACCTTGTAACTTCTCTGTACATATATTTTTTTCTCCAGTGTTCTCCTGGCTATTATTTAATGATGAATGTTTGCATTCAGACTTTTGTAAATCAAAATTCAGACTTACATATTTTATGTAAACTACCATAGGCAAAACTTGCATCTTTTGGGGCCCTCTTTTCCCAACTGATAAAATATTAAGTTAGACACTTGATTTTATTGAATGCAAAAGTGATTAAATAAAGAATGTGAAATATTCTGCAAATTATATTGTTTAAATATAGTGCATTTTGGGGGGATGAGGGAAGCTTATTTGAGTGTAGATGGAAAGCTAAAACATTTGTAAAGAGACAGAATTCTATCTAATTTTGTTAGACAGGTGTATGCATGGCATGCTTTGCAGTACACATAAGACTCTGCACCCACAGAGATACAGTCCAAAACAAGAACAAATGACAACATTGCAACTGTTAGCTCTAACTCATCCTGTTTTAATCATACTGATCTGTCCAAGGAAAATCTGGTTCTGCAATTTCAGTCAGTAATTGTAGCTAACACTAAAAAGAATATGCATTTAGAGTAGTCCAAAGGTAGATCAAACCTATTTTCCAACTGGTGCTCAAACATTTCACTTTTTTTTTTTTTTTTTAAACTAAGCATCTGGAGGCTTATTTTGTGAGAAACTAAGTCCAAGCAAAGATTAATTTTGTTTCCTCTTGCAAAGAATTTACCCCTGTGAAAATAAGCTAGTAGACCACATTGAACTAAACAGGTTATTCTGAAATACACTCCTTTTAAAAAAAAATAAGTACTTGGTGGCTTTTTGCTACTTATACAATTTAATTTAGCAAGCCCCATTTCCTGTGCTAGAGTCACTGTGATGGTACAGCTTGGCCATGACATCATCTGGTGTCCCAGGTACTATAACAACATAATAAATGATAATTAAAACTTAGTGAATTTGCATGAGCAGAATTACTACAGAAAAAAAGTGTTCACACAATATAAAGAATCCCTGCCTTGGAGCATTAGTATTCTTATTTAAGAGCAAGCCAGGCTGTTACACTAGGAAAACAAATGTGAGAAAAAAAACTATGATTACAAGGCTGAGAGAGTAAGTGGGGGGAAGAGGTTGGGGGCACAGATGGTGTTCATATATTCTGAGTTGACGGTAAAGGCCTGGGCAGGGACACATGCATCCTGGAATTAAATGTCAATACTATCTGTGCAGTGAGACAAGAGAGCTTTGGCTTCCTCAATCATGGGATGCTGTTCTGAGACAAATGGGTAAAGTAAAATGTACCTATGAGAAGTGTGACCAAATCCTTATATTTAATTATAAATTCTTAATTCTAATATGGTCTCAATGCCTTTTGCAATCCCAGAATATTTTTAGATTGGCACAGCTACTAGGAATTGTTTTTCTTGCATGTCAATCTGCTCAAAATAGCATAATGCTTTCTCGCATTCACATCTATTATTCATGTTTATCACATAATAAAGGCAAAGTGATTTGGGTAGGAAAGAGCTAGTAATACTGGTTGACTTATGGGTTGTTTTTCCCCACTTCTGAGGAGGAAGCTAGTAAAGGGAGGGGGGGGATAGTTTATAGTAACCCTGCCCAGTGCAGCACAACCCTATACAAAACCCTTTATAACAAAAAATAGGCCTATTACACAAAGTCCAGTTTATGATCAGGTTGTGTTCCAAAAGTTTGTAAGTCAGTTGTTTGGAACTAAAAAAGTATTTTTCCATAGAAAGTGTTAAAGGCCTATTTATTCCATAATGTAGCTGAAGCCACAAAAACTTATTTCATAATGTAGCTGAAATACTGTACATTTGCAATGAAAAAAGTAGACCACAGTACTGTTGCAATACTAGTAATGAAAGCAGAAAAAATGTTTTAACTAAGAAATGATCATTTTTTAACAATGCTGGTGCTTGAGGAAAGGCAAGTTTAATTAGAGGCTGATGGCACTAGTTCCTTTAAAATCAGGTACCTTTTTCTCTAGGTAAATTTCTCTGTAACATGTGAGGGCATTTCTCACAGCTCTGGAGACTGAGGCAAATCGAAAAGAGTTGGGGTCTTGTTCCTCAAACAGTGCCATAGCCCCCTCAATCATCTGAAAGGCCTCAGACATTTTTTTAACTGTGAATCTTTTGGATGGGGGCGTGTCTGCCCACAGAGCTGCAGCTTCCTCTTCTGCAACCTTTTGTGCCTCTAAGTGCACAAGATCATCATTAGAGAGATCTTCTGCATGTGAGTCCAACAACTCCTCCACATCATACACCTCCAGATCAAAATCAAGTTCCTTTCCCATCTCAATTATATTTTCAATAACATTTTTCAGAGTTTCCTCAAATCCCTTAAAATCATTAACAAACTGAGGGTAAAGTTTTTTCCAAATCCTATTGATGCTGGTCTGCATGACTTCATGCCAAGACTCCCCAATGTTCTTTACTGCAGCATACATGTTGTAACCCCTCCAGAAATCTTTGAAGGTAGAAGCTTCTTCCCCTTTTATAGTCTTAATTGCTTGGGCAAAGATTCTACGGGTATAATAAGCCTTAAATAACCTTGTAGCTCCTTGGTCCATTGGCTGCAACAAGGAGGATGTGTTAGGAGGTATAAACACAACCTTGATGTCAGGATGAAAATCATCCAGGGAAACTGGGTGCCCTGGTGCATGGTTTAACACAAGCAAAATTCTGAAGGGAATATTATTTTTGGCACAATACAATTTAACTTCAGGCACAAAATGGTGAAAGAACCAATCTTCAAAAATCACCAAAGTTACCCAAGCCTTGTGACTGGACTTCCATACAACAGGCAGAGCAGCTTTTGTTACACCCTTAAATGCTCTAGGGGTCTCAGAATGGTAAACTAGGAGTGGCTTAATCTTAAAATCCCCAGCAGCATTCCCTCCAAGCAAAAGAATTAAGTGATCTTTTGCAGCTTTAAAGCCAGGCATAGTTTTTTCTTCCTTGGAGATGTAGGTTCTCTCAGGCATCTTTTTCCAGAACAGTTCAGTCTCCTCAACATTAAACACTTGATGAGCACTGTAGTTTCCCTCCTTAATTGTAGCAGCAAATGTCTCAAGAAAGGCAGAGGCTGCTTTTTCATCAGCACTAGCAGCTTCCCCACTCACCTTAATGTTATGTAAATTTGCTCTAGCTTTAAACCTGTTAAACCACCCACGACTTGCCACAAATGGTTCTACATCCCTAGCATTTTCACCTAGGTTTTTTTTCAAGTCTTTATAAAGACTAAGAGCCTTCTCTTGAATCAACATAACGCTAACAGGCACTTTACGCTGATGCTGATCTTCAAGCCACAAAATCAACAATTTTTCCATGTCGGAAATGATGCCACTTCTTTTTTTTGTTATTATGGTTGAATGCATGAGCGCAGATCCCTTCACATGTTCCAAAATTCTGGCTTTGTCTTTGATGATTGTAGCAATTGTGGAACGATTTAAACCAAACGCATATCCAATCTGTGACTGTGTTTCTCCTTTCTCTGCACGCTTTAATATGTCTAATTTCATTTCAAAATTTATGGCTTTCCTTTTCCTTCGTTCAGGTGTATCACTACCCTTACTTGTCTGCTTATCAGCCATGATTAGGGTTGTGTTTTGGCTCACCAATGGAAAGAATGCACACTGCTTTCACTGGGGAGGCAGCAAGCAAGCAACTGAGTAGCACATGTACCTACAGTACCAACACTATCCTCTGGCTGCCCCACTGTTGGGGGGGGCTCCTCTGGGATGGCTTTTGCAGTCCCTCAGCCACTCCTCCCACTCTTAGCTATGCCCAGCCCCTGCTCACCAAGAGGCCATGAGCAGCAGGAGAGTGGAGCAGCGGGCAGCTGTGCAGCTAGGGGCTAGAGAGAAGCAGTGCTTCCCCTTTAAAGCACTACTTATCTCTACCATCAAAGTGCTGCTTCTCTCTAGACCCTGGCTGTCCATTGAAGCCCTCCAGCCGCACCTTTGCTGCTCATCCCTGGCTCACCTGAGAAGTTTTGTTCATGTGTGGATGTTCATAAATTGAACATTTGCGAGTCAGGGTGTGCCTATACTAGAGGTGCATGGAAAGCTTTTACTGTGCCATGAAGCTAAAAAAAATTATGGCAGGATAGGTTTTAATATCATTAACTCTACATATATTAACAGAAGACAATTGTTTATCTGATGCACATCCTCATCCCTACATTTTTATAGCAAGTACACAATTTTCATAAGGTGTGTTACAAGCTAGAACAGGTGGTAAAGCAAAGCCCCAAATGATCAGATATGATTTAAGACTGTGTCCATTTTTTAGTCACATTCAGGTGGTTCAAATGATCTGCAACATATTTGTGTTCAGGAAACTTGGATATCAACTGGCTTTTAAAAGCTTCCCATTTTGCAAGTCTCCGCTCTGTATTATGTTTATATTCCTGTTGTGGTGTCATGTATGGTTGACTCAGCCAATATTCATTCTCAGCTTCAACTTCCAGCCTTTGAATCATTGAACGCTTCATTGAAAGAGTAACCACTCTTGGTCTTCTGTATTTTCCAATCCATTGCTTCCCAGGAATTCTTTTTTTGAGCAGTACTGTGGTTAGAAACATTACCTTAAAGTAAATAAGAATAAATATAAGCTTTAATTCTGAACCATTAAAGCCAGTTTAGAAACAAGTGAGTTTCTGTACAAATAAAACATTTGCTCAAAATACTTAAGCTATTAGAACAGTCTTTTCTTAGCCTCTCCCAATCTTCTCTCAGCCTGCTGGAGCTCCAGCTGCTCTTCCAACAGCCCCTGGCCAGCAGTGGCAGGACAGGAGTAGAGGTGGGGGGGGGGGGGGGGGGGAGAAGAGAGAGAGAGGAAGTGAATTGATTGGTTGCTCTGCCCCGGAAGAGGCACAGCAGTAAGGCATATAGCCAATCAGAAGTCTTCTTTTCCTCCAGTCATGTCCTTTCCCTCCCCCATCCTTTTTCAAAAGAATTGGCCAAAATTGCTTGGGCCTGATGACATGCTAATTGGAAAACACTGCATTAGAGTAAAATGCTACAAAGCTGAACATTTACAAACTTTAAGTATCAGAAGGGTAGCTGTGTTAGTCTGAATCTGCAAAAGCGGCTCCAACACTTTGGTTAGTCTATAAGGTGCCACAGGACTCCTCGCCGCATTTACAAACTTGGCATCCTGAAATTCAGAAAGATTCTACAGTGATAGATACTTCAGAGGTTCATAGATTTTTTTAAGACAAAATGGACCATTATATAGTCTCATCTGATCTTCTGTGCAACACAGGCTATTGATTTTTACCCAGTTATTCCTGCATCCAAGCTAACAACATCTGTTTGATTTAGGGATGGAATGGAATAGTTAACTACCAGATAAGCAGATGTTTGGCTACTCAGCGAGGGGGGAGTAGAAGCTAGTGCTGGGGGAGTCAGCTTGAAAGCTGGCTCCCCCCTAGGACTGTCTCTGCAGTGCAGGAGGAGAGGCAGAGTTGGAGCTAGAACAAACTGGGACTATTTAAAATGCAGAGCTGCAACAGGGGTAGCGTCTGTGGTCAGTGAGCCAGGACTAAGCAGTCCTGGTTTGCTCCAGCTCCGGGACATTGTGGGTCTGCATGTTAAATTAGTAAGAGCCCACCCAACTCTTACTACATTTAAAATGCAAAACCACAGCAGGGGATAGCAAGCTCCTCCTTACTGACTAATCAAGTAGTCAATGGAAATTCCATTGACTACCCAATTAGCTGATTAACTACAATTTAACATAATAGCTTGATGCAAGCATGTTTTCTAGAAAGGCATCCAGTCTTAACATGAAGACAAACACAGTTCACCGCTTTCTGTGGTAAATCCAATGGTTAATCATGCTCTCAATTAATGATATGCCTTACTTCTAATTGATATTTATCCAGCATTACTTTCTACTCATTGGCTCTTGTAACCTTTTAGTACCTGGCATTTCTCCATATAAAGGTAATTACTAGGGATGTAAAATCCCAGCTGATCAGTTGACCAGTTAAATGTTAGGTCAACGTAACATTTAACTGGTTAACCAACTAAGCAGGGAGCTGAGGCAGACAGCCTCTCCAGCCTGGCTGAAGCAACCCTCAGCCCATGGGTCACATGCCCCAGGTTGGGGCTGCCAGCCAGCTCCCAGCCCCTGAAGGAGTAGTCCCTGCCTACAGGGCATTCAGGTCTGTTATGGATAGGGGCTGTTCCAGCCCCAACCAGTTACTGGTAACCAGGAAGCACTACCCATTATCCTTTCAAAATCCTAGTCGCATACCATAGTCAACTCACCTCCTGATTTTTTTTAGTCTAGCTAAACATTAAATCTCAAACTGTAAGACATGTTTCTCCACACTAATCAGTGTCCGGTCCTGTGTGGCCTCTCCAATAACTTTTTGGCTATGGGGGGCCCCCCAACACTAAATTCCAGTATCAATCTAACCAATACCACATAAAGGTGTACATAAAATAACCTCCTTACTCCCGTTTATACTTTCAAAGTTTCCAGTAGCCTATTTGCCACAGTATTACATTAGACCAGTGGTGGGCAAAATACACCCTGCCAAGCCTTTGGATCCGGATCACGGTCTGCCCAAAGCATCCAGCTACTGGGGCTGTGCGCCTCTGTACCACATGCCCCTTCCTAGATGGGGAGGGGGGGGGCTTTGTGGGCTGCCTCTGCCTCCAGCACAATCATTGCTGCGCTCAGCAGGCGCGGGAACAAAGACACACGGGTGCAGCAGGTAGAGCGCTAGGCTGCTGGCTGGGAACGGTAAATGCTTTTCAGCCAGAGCCTGCATCTGGCACCCCTCCCACACGCCAACTCCCTGCCCCCAGGTCCCAGTTCCCCACTGACCTGCTCAGTGCCCGAGGCTGGAGACACGTTCCC